AGCTCACCAGCTACTCTTAGGAAACCCTATACAGGTCCCTTCTGAGTTATGGCACTTAACAACACCCCTATACTGGGGCTCAATCATTATCTACACCGTTCAATCATTATCATAGATTGAATCACGACTGGGGCATAATTTGGCAGTTACATGAAGATGTGATCAGTCAATCAGTTGTATGGGGATTCAGGAAGAATGCAACATCCTTACTGAGGTCATGGCCCTGATCTAAGAGGAGTTCCCTGGGTTGTGACCTGCATCATTTTTTATCTTATAAGAGATGAAAGGAGAGAAAAACAGAAAGGGACCTACCAAGAAAAAAAGGCCTGGTAATGAAATGAATTTTTTGAACCCAGAGTCCCTGGGTTAAGAACCTCCTAGCCCCATGGGAAGACTGAAACTAAGATACAAGGGAATCTCCAAGGAATACCAGGCCCACAGTTGTTGAGACATGGATCTTACTTCATAACTGACTGAGAGAAAAAGACTTCTAGAGCCTGCACTGTAAATTCAGATTTCTAGACTCCTAAACCATAGCGTTCCGGTAGCGTAGTGGTTATAAGTTGGGCTGCTATCCTCAAGGCCAGAATTTCTAAAGTACCAGGCATTCCATGGGAGAAAGATGAGGCTTTCTGCTCCCATAAAGATTTACAAGCTCGGAAACCCTATGCAGAGTCACTGAGTCGGAACCATCTCCACGGAACACTAACACCACCACCACTGCCAAACTATGAGAAAATAAATTTTCTTCTTAAAGCCATCCACGAGATAACGAAAACAATTATATTTAACTCACTGCAATACAGTGTTAACAAATACACCTATTCCTGACTTACCAAACTGTCTCAGCCAACAGTTAGCATTCACAGTATGTAAAAAAAAAATCTATTCAAATACTTTGCTTATTAGCAATGCATGTCTGGCAGTAATGAATGCCCAGGTGCAAGAAAGAGTAACACTGACTGTGATGGTTAAGGCTGTGTTTGGCAGTTACTATAGCCATGCTCCATATTATAATCTCATTTGTGGCTTGGTAGTTATATAATGAAATCAGCTTCCATTTATGAACTTACGTCATCCTATTTTGCATAACACTGATTTTCACATAATTACCTTATCTTTGGAAGCTTGGATGTTGCTAAGTGAGGAGTGGGTCTGAGTGCATTACCATGCTGAGGGCCCTCAAGCACCCTCAGAAAAGGAAAGTGAGCTCCAGGAGCAGCACACACCCCATACTGCAGACTTGCTTACTCAATGCACAACCCTAGCTGAAAGCCATCTGCAGCATCAAGTTACTCCCTGGTGACCTATATTGTGTTCTATGAGGCCGCTTTGACTCAAACCAGCTAACAAAAGGCATACAAGTAAAAGTATTGGATCTGCTACAAATAAACCAGTAATATCCTGGGTGCTAAGATGAACATTTTATGGCAGCTGGAATGTGCCCTCAAGGAAATAGGGTAAGTTAGGCATGTAATTAGATTGGTCAAATTCCTTTGATATTATCAAAAGTAATCATCAACATTATTGTAGTCTGGGAAAATGACTAACAATTACTTGACTAGCAGGTGATGTCTCATGACTTAGGATTATTACGGGGAAACACCAGAATCATTTCTCCATAAGGCCTCTGCTATAACCTTAAGCAGCTCACAGAAGGTCGATGATCATTTCCATTTTTAGGAGCACATCCTCCTTTCCCCAGAATAATTCCCTCCCATGGGACATATCTGTATACCCATTACAGAGAAAAACAAAGAGAAAAGAGAAAGAAAAGAAAATATTACCTTTTATTTTCTCAGGCCCACAAGTGATCTGGATACCAATTAAGAGATTTTACTAATTCACCTTTAGAATCATGTATTTTAAACCAAAGTACTAGTTTGCAATTTAATTTTGGAATAAGCTAAGTTTGTTTTAACATGTAAGGTTACGGGAAGTTTGGAGTTTTAAATAACCTGTGAAACAGGTGATACATATCCCTTCTTTAATGGCTTTTAAGAGAAAAGTTGTTGTTGTTGTTATGTGCCGTGGAGTCGGTTCCGACTCATACCGACCCTGTACAGGGTTTCCGAGGCTGTAAATTTTTACGGGAGCAGAAAGCCTCATCTTTCTCCTGCGGAACAGCTGGTAGTTTCGAACTGCTGACCTTGCGGCTCGCAGCCCGATTCATAACCACTATGCTACCAGAGCTCCTTAAAGAAAAACAAATGATAGTCTAACAAAAACTGAGCAATGTCCAGTAAAAAACTGGATAATGTTATGGTAACCATCTTTCTGGTACAGTGAGTGTATTCTGCCTAGAACAAAACTTTTAGGCCAGTGCCATTATTCTGAGGTCCACATGAACCCTTCTCTGCAAATGCTGTTTGGTAACAAATGGCATGGCTTATCAAGAATCTAAGGATTTACCTGTACAAACCTGGCATATGCCAGGGGATTGTCTCAAGCATTCTAACGATATCCCCATAGTTCTTGACATGTGCAAGCCATAGCACCTTTCAGAAGAACTGTCCAAACCAGCATTGCACACTAACAAACCCAGAAATGCTGGGAATATGCTTGTAGCTACACCACTTAGTTCAGTTACAGCAATGGTTAATGAGAGTACCTACTGAACTTAATTAATAGCTTCATAAGAAGGAAAACATTTTATAAGTCATATAATTGACCTGATCACGGGAGAGCCATCTGAGGAAAGACAGAAGTTGGTCACAAAGTGCATCTGAGGACAGTGTGGTTGGCTTTAAGCACTTTGAACATAAACTCAACATACACAATCTAATAACAGAGATATTGTCAAATTATTTTCACAAACCAAAGAATACAGACTGCAAATTATTTAACAAATCAGAGAATCAAATGAAAATGGACATTTCTGAAAGCACATAGTAAATTATTATATAAATCTTTTTTAGAAAGATTTGCTATTTACATGAAAATTTTGGCACAGACTAAACAAAATCTTTTGAAAATAAATCATAAAATGTGGAAACCTTGGAGAAAGTCTCAAATAATTAAAAATAGAACATATATTTCTTCAGATTTTAAAATTACTTGTATTTTATGACCTTTAAAGTGTGCATAAAGCAGTTTTAAATTGTATTTAAACCGTTTGAGAAATCCAGAACATTTCATTTTATAAATATGTATATCCTGGCTAGAGACATTATTTGGGCGGCAAAGAATGATCTTGTAAAAAGTTGTTGCTGCCCCAAAATCTGTGATGGAGAGCTAAAGACATGGCTACAACATGGTAATGCTTTGCACCATTTACAGTGAGCTCAACAAATGTAACCAAACTCAGCTATCAAATACCACAACTGTAACAGACGATTGTTTACTTGAGGCTGGCAATGTTAATGAAAAGAAACTCTTTTCATTAACAGGTACAGAACAAGTATTTTAGAAACAGGAAATCCATAGTATTTTTTTAAGAAAAAATGGATGCTTTTATTATATAAAATTATGATTGGCAGAATACAGAAAAAAATGATTTCACATTTACCTTTAGATATTTATTACAAATACCAAGCAAAGTATAACAATTAGAAGAACTCAATACAAACTACTAGAAAGTATTTATTTGGTGAAATTATTCAGTTATAAAATGCTAAGTAAATAAATGCACTTCAAAATCCATGGAGTATAAAGCAATATGAGAAAACAAATTATCTTAAATCAATGGTTCTTGTAACACAATGCTAATGATCACATGAAAAGCACACAAAAAAGTGTGAAATGGGACAGAAAAGAATAAATCAAACATATTTGTTCATTAGGATTATTAAACTAAAACCATTCTTTATGAAGCACTTGTTATTGTTGTTGAAGTGCTGTCGAGTTGGTTTTGACTCATAGTGACCCTGAAGAGGGTTTCCAAGGACTAACTGGTGGGCTTGAATTACTGACCTTGTGATTAGCAATCCAGTGCTTATCTTACAGTGCCACACCAGGACTCCAAAAAGGTATTTAGGAAAAAAAAAAAAACTTCCAATACTACATCAATACTACATGTTTTTTACTACCAATAGAACAAGGAAAGATTTGGAGGCCAATAATGCCCTGTAGACCCAGGTATCTCTCAAAGCATTTGCACTGAAGGTTCCTTATGCATTATGACGTAAAGGAAACAATAAACAATTATACCTGCACTAAGGCAAAGAAATTACACATGAAAATGCCAAATGTATCTCTTGCATAAGACTAGAATAATCTGCTTCCAAATAATTTTTTTATACTTTAGTAAATTAGGGTAAATATTTTACTCTAAAGAAAAGGCAAATGGGAGGTCTCTGATAAGTTAGAATTTTCATAGCAAAAAAATAAATCCTAATTATTAAGTTCACAAACTATTTTTAAAAAGTGATAAATAAACAGTATATGTGAATTATATGCCAAATTATTATAATCTGTACCTATGCACTTATAAGTGGTATTAATAAATATTCAATTCATGCAACAAGAGCTAGAGAATCGAGACACTTAATTTCACATTTCAGAATTCCTGAGTCTTATCAGAGAAAAACAAATATCAAAAAGCAAAATAAACCCTACTCGATAGTAGGGCAAATAACACAAACCTGGGCATTAAGTTAATATTACATTTATAGATTTAAAGCTGAACACTATGGGAGTAAATATATATATATATATACTTCAATGGAATTATAAATATGATTTTTAAAGCTTGATTTTTTTAAAAAGGCATTTTGATCAAACAAGGCCACCTGAGTGACATCTTCAATAATAGTTAAGTCCACCATTTTAAAGGACTAACATCTTTATTCCAAAGCCTAATTATAAATATAAAAAGGAAGAAAAGTTTAATAAAATGTTTTGTAAGACTGCAATGGGACAGCCCTTAATGAAAGACCTAACAAGAGTAAAGCCAACATAATGGAATTAGAACACAAGTTCTAATCTGAGCTACCACTCATTAAATAATTTCCCTTTTGCTTTGCATATTACACAGTGAAAATAAAAAGGCATCTTAAGAGCACTTCAGTCCCACAATGTAGGATATAAGCTTGTGTGGATATGTGTACATGTACCTGCAATAACATGACGACTTGCAAAAATACATTTAACCTAAAGGCAATGTGTTTTCTAACTAAAAAGAAAACAGGGACACAAAGTTGTCCCATTTAAAATAAAACAAAACAAAAAACACCATTTACCTGTCTGGAAAGACGACCAAAATAAGGAACACCCAATTATATCATATACTTAAAATTGCATACTTTTACTCATCTTTAATAAGTAGGACCTATACAAACAACTTATACTGGATTTTATAAATACAGACACTAAGCAGAAAAATATTTGGGTTATTTCTCTGTTCATCAGTACCCAGAAATAAAACAATTAAAAAACACTAAAGTGCAGACCTACAGGTCATTACGGGCATGATAAGTGAGAAAGAGGTACAGCCAAAATTGCATCTACATATACATTTACATATCCAGAAAATGATTCTTGCTTTAAAAAAATTGTGCAATTTAAAAACGGGTCAGTTTTGTCTGTGCCGTAATACAATTAGAACTTGTCTCTCTGTCCATTAGTCAACTGACTGCAAGACTCAGGACAGCATACTAGGCTCGTGACAACCATACATTTCACTAGAATCATACAATATTGATGCCACCTCCAGAAAATGTTAGGGTCCTCTTGTTGTAGAATGAAGAGCCACTGATATTTGGTTGATTGCCTTTAACCAGAGAGGTTTTCAGTTCCATTTCACAAGCTACAAGAGCTGCATTCAATTCCACTTGAGCTCGATGAACTACATAAAACATGAGGCCTATACTTATAATAATCTGTAAACAAAAATGAAACATCAGTTACATTTTATACAGAAAAATGAAACCAATCCACTAAAAATTTGATTTAGACATGTTTTAAACAGAATGCATCTGAAATATTGTCAAGTTAATAGTTTATACACACACAAAACAAACTCACTGCCATCAAGTTGATTTTTACTCATTGAACAGAGTAATGTTTCCAAGACTGTAACATCTTTATGGCAGTAAATGGGCTCACCTTCCTTCTGCTGAGCAGTTGGTGGATCTAAACTACCTACCCTTGTGGCAAGCAGCCCAATGTTTAACCTGCATGGACAGGACTCTTTAGTTCATATAGAGTTATCATTACTCTTTCTTTGTTGTTACTCCTAAACGTGGAGGGCAAGAAGAAGGTGCCATGGAAGTGACCATTATATGGCATCTGGTAATCTAAGGCAGGAGTTCTGGTGTGGTGCTGTGGGTTAATGAGCCAGATTGCAAAGCCGTTTGAACTGCAAGATTGGCGGTTCAAGCTCACCAGCCACTCCTCGAAAACCCTATACAGAGTTCGCTATGGGTCAGAACGGACTCAATGGCACTCAACAACAACAACAATCTAAGGCAATATCCCTTCTGGCTCATGTAAATTATGCTTGCTTGAAACAAGTCAATACCTTATACCAAAAAGTTTTCTTTTAAGAAAAATCAATGTCTACAATGAAAGTAACAACTGGCTAATGTTCATTAGTGTAACGTGTATCAGTGTAATTAATGTGGTATTATATCTGTGTACAGATATTAATGACCATCAGGCTTAGAGAAAGGTACTACCTGGTATGGTCAAAACTGAAGAAAATAAGGACCACTTAAAGAAATAAACTCCAAAAACAAATAACAAGTGCAAACAAGGTAATGAATGCTGTAATGAAATGAAGTATGATTTGTTGAATGTAAAACGATATTCTGCTCTGTAAACCTTCCCTCAATTCACAACAAAATGTTAAAAAGAAAACAGAAATAGCAAGTGACTATGAACAGAAAACAGACTTGGGAAAAGCATAAGCAAAATCATGAGAAAAGACATCACACTAAAACCCTTAACTTACTTGGGCCACAGTTTCTGAGTGTCCACTAAGATACTATGGTCCCTTTGTGCTTTTCAATACTCTTACATAAAATTTAATCAGAATAGGAGAGCAATCCACATCTTCTAAATGATTTTTATTTAAAGTTCCTTTGCAAATCAGCTGCCTACAGTTTTGAGCAAATACTCTTGTAGAAACAAGGCTCAGCAAGCATTGGAAAGATGAGGGCATGATTTTGAGGAACTTAGGTTTAAGGGGTAAGAAAGGAGGGGGTGCTGATAAATGAGACAGAAGCATAAGCCAGGTAAGAACGGGGAAGGGGAAAATCAAAACAGTGGCAAAGAAGTAAGAACATGTTTTAATAATAAAACCAAGGTCAACAAAGCCTTTTGTTGCTTAGAGATCAAGCTAGATGCATACTGGAAAGTGTGTCTGATTGAAACAATGTTAAGTGAGGACTTCAGAAAGCACAGCTTGTGGGAAGGATGGGGTATCCTTCCACACATAGGACTCCTGGTGGTACAGTAGCTAGGCATTTGGCTGTTAAACTAAAGGACAGTGGTTCGAACCCACCCACTACTCTGCAAGACAATGATGTGGCCATCTGCTTCTGTACCCAAAACTGAAGATGAGGACCACTTAGAGAAATAAGATTGAAATAAACTTCAAAAACAAGTAAAAAAAACATTTAAAAAAAAAAGGAACAATGAGTATAGCAAACAAAAAACTAAAATAGAGGGCAAACACTGCAATGCTTTACAACCTGGGAAGCCCTACGAGGCCATTCTCCTCTGTTCCATAAGGTCAGTATGAGTCAGAATCAACTGGACTGCAGTGGGTTTGGATGGCCAAACTTCGTCTCTCATACTTCGGATATACTGTCAGGAGGGACCAGTTGCTGGAGAAGGATATCATGTTTGGTAAGGTGGAGGGTCACAGAAAAAGAGGAAGATCCCCAGTGAGATGGACTGGCAAAGTGGCAGCATCAATGGGCTCATGGATGGCTACAATAGTGAGGTTGGCCCAGGATCGGGCAATGTTTTATACTGCTATGCATAAGGTACCGACTCGGTGGCACCTAACAACAACAACAACAACAACAACAACACACGCCCTTCCCTGGATTCCTGTTATATAAGCACTGGACTACTAACTACAAGGCTGGTGGTTCAAACTCACCAGCTGCTCCTTGGAAACCCTTATACAGGGTGGCTATGAGTCAGAACCGACTCAATGACACTAACAGCAACAATACACACACACCCTTCCTTAGTATAGTGAAGAACAAAAACACAAAGGAGAAAGAAAACAAGAGAGGGACATGCCATAAATGTGACAACTGTGGAGCACAGGCACAAGTGATTCTTAGGCCAGTGAAACTATTCTGCATGATATTCTAATGGTGGACACTTGACATTATGCATTTGTCAAAACCCATTACAACTGTACAACCAAAAGAGTGAGCCCTAATGTAAATTATGGACTTAGTTAGTAACACTATCAATAGGGTTCATCAATTATAATATATGTGCCATGAACGCAGTTGTTAGTAAGAGGAGAATCAGTGCAGAGGGCAGAGGGGGTACATGGGAACTGACTATACTTTCTGCACAAATTTCCTGTAAACCAGACTGCTCTAGAAAAAAAATGTCTACTAAAAAAAAGAAGGAACAGTGAGTATAGCAAACCAAAACTTAGATTCACCCAAGACTGGGATTTCGGCTGATGATTATATAGAAAACTATGTTGTTGTTGTTGTTCAGTGCCGTCTAGTTGGTTCTGACCCATGGTGATGCTGTGTATAGGGTTTCCAAGGACCAGCTGGTGAGCTTGAACTGCCAGCCTAGCAGTTTAAACAGCTTTGCAGTCTGGTGCACTAACCCACAGCACCACACCAAGACTCCATAGAAAACTATAACACATGATAAAGAGTATCAGAATTGACAGATTAAGAAATCTCAGTTGGCTATCAATACAAGAAATTGTTGTGCTTCCTCGGAATACCTGTTTTGCATTGTTTAATTTTATAGGCACTGAGGGTCCTCCTTTGTGAGTCATCTCTAACAAATATAAGAATACACATGACTTGAACTGAAGCTGGGGTTCTGGCTGATGATTACATAGAAAACTATGTTGTTAAGTGCCTTTACCTACACTGATTTTCCCCATCAAGAGGATGTCTTTCCTCTCTCTTTTTATTTTTCCATAAACATTTTGTAGGCTGCATTAAATCTTCCTGGAAACAAATGAAGTTAAGACATTGGTGGTAGTGTTGGGTGTCACCAAGTTGATTCAGGCTCACATCAAACTCAGGCATACAGATTCCTTCACTTTTTTATTTCATAAATTCCTGGGGTAAAGAAATAATGGCCTTTCATCCCCCTTGTCTTATATCTTAAACTTATTATTTGTTAGTTCAACCAAGGAAATAAGAAATCACTGAAAAAAATTAAAGATTCTATTATCTGAAGAAGCGCCACACTGACAAAGGCATGCACTATATCGGTCTATTATAACTCTTAGCAATTTACTAAGAGACAGCTACTAATAATGAAGAATGCTCATTATTTGGACACAAGTCAAGAAAGAAATTCAATTTTCAAATGGACTACTTAATTTTAAGAAACTAAGAAAACATAAAATATACTTAAATTTAAATTTAAAAATATCTCTGAGAATGCAGAGGGGATGTCAGAATCTTACACTACACCTTAGGATGATTATAAACATAATTTATATATGATGCTATAGATGCAATTCACAGAACACTTAACATTACATCGTTCACATTCTATGTATGTAAAAATAAAGGAACTTTTAACAGTGACTGTAAACCTAGATTCAAGTTTCCTAAGAAAATACAGCTCTGAAAAAATTTGTAAAATACACATAAAAACTCTCTGAATATAAAAAATATTACAAGTTTTCTTTGTTGTTTTGTTAAATATTGTAGAGGCAGTTCCGACTCACAGCAACACTATACGGGGTTTCCAAGTAGTTGGTGGGTTTGAATCAGCACCTTATGGTTCAAATCAACCTTGTGGTCTAGTGCTTATCATACAGCACCACACCAGCCCATTTATTGAAAAACTTTATTTAAGCAAAACTTCAATTCCTGGACTTTATTTATTTAAATGTGTACAGTATAAGTACACAGAAATCTCTGGGTTATGTTTTATCATCAAATCACTGACGCACAGTAACTTGGTAATAATAGTGCCTCAGAAACTTCTGAATAGTAATACCAACAATTAAATCTTAATTATAGTGCCATATATTTAATATAGAAAATTATACTAGCAAGTTAAAGGACCAATAGGTAAACGTAGTATGGTGATCTCATTAGTATAATCTGCTGAGTGGACTATCAAAGAGGGTGAGTCAAAAATTATCTGAAATTTGAATCAACTTTTAGAAAATGTATCATTTTGCTTTTCAATACACTTTATCCATCTGTCAACAAGTTTTCATAATCCCTTATTAAAAAAACATTTTAGGCTTAGCCACGAGCCACAAATGCAGAAACCCTATATAGGATCTCTATGCGTCTGAACCAACAACAACTAATATACTAAAAAAAATCCTAATGCTCTAAGTATACTACTCTAAAAAAAAAAATAAGTTTCAATAATTTGAAAGAAAATTTCCCTGCTAAAATAAACACACAGTCCTGTTAAATCTCATAAAATTATCTCCAGAAACATTGTGTATGATACTTCACATAAAGGCAAAATCGAGTATTTGATTTATTGATGACTTTGAGATAATCACTGGAAAAATGACCTTAATTGTGTCCTTCCCCTTGTTGAGATTCTCTGATTTTGCTTAAGAAAATATTCCAACAAGAATTCATTCAGTTTTAGACACTTTCATATATCCACACAATAGTCAGCCAGGTTTCAGTTAATAATGCAATACCAAAAAAAAAAGGCACATGGAAACAAATAAAAAAAAGATAACCCTTGGCCTTAAACTCACCTGTAAACAGAAAACAAAATATCCGCTAACACTCTGTTCTGCAATGACATCTTCCATTGTCCGCAGGGTGGTACCCAAGTAAGAATTCAGAAGCTGGGTAGGAAGCAGTCCAACTGAAGATGCCATCAGATAGTTGGGTAATGAGAGATCGGTAATCTAAAAGAGTAGATTAAAGGGAATGATTCATAATCAAGTACAATTTCAATGTACTGTAAACCTCTTGCCCAACATTTTCTTTTGGGATATGAGGGAGCTGAAATACTTTACCAAGCATTTTGATTTTTTAAAAATGATTATAAAGGGAATGCATGCAGAATGTATAGAATAAAAAATAAAGAAAAGTTATAATACTCTTATTTCTATTATTTTACCATTGAAAGATGACCTTTATAGCCTATTTTATTTTTCTTACATGTAAATAAAACACACATACACAACACACATTATCACATTGTAAAAACTTGTTCTCATTAAATATTCTTTGTTAGAATGTCTAAATGGAGATGTGGCCAATGGGCTTTGAAGCCAGATGACATTCCAGTGCTGAAAACTCAATAATCCTGAGAAACCTACTAAGACTCTAAGCATCCGATTTTTCATTTGTAAAATGAGGACATAACCATCACCTTCCAAGGTTGTTCACATCAGAAATATTTGTAAGGAATCTAGCAAATACCTAGTACGTACATGAGAGAAACAAACACAAAAGCAGAAATTATCAGTACTAAACAAATATAACAGAGTGTGGATATAACACAATTTAATCACTCATTAGATATGCAACATTTAAAACCCTACTTCATTTATTTGTATATATGTAACTTATTTTTTGCTTCTATGCTGAGATATGAAAATCTTTGTATATTAACCTCAGTGGTGGGTAGCACCAAACCATTAATGACCTTTCCTCCTTGTATTCATGACCTTGTATAGCAGCCCTTTACCCTCTGAATGTGGCTGGACCTAGTGCTTACTTCTAGCAAATGTTGTTGTTGTTGTTAAGTGCCGTCAAGTCAGTTCCGACCCATAGTGACCCTGTACAGGGTGTGAATCTTTACGGGAGTAGAAAGCCTCATCTTTCTCCTGTGAAGCAGCTAGCTGGTAGTTTCAAACCGCTGACCTTAAGGTTCGCAGCCCGATTCGTAACCACTACGCTACCACTAGCAAATACAAGAGGGCTTAAAAAAGTTTGTAGAACAAAATCCTGTATCTTTTCATTCCTTTTTCCATGAACTTCTTGAAGTCCTCTCATAGAACACAACAGAACTTATAGAATGCCATTTCCAAAATTAGGTCACAAAGAAAGGAATTTGCATTTAACTCACTCTCAAACAAGCAGGCCACCATGTAGTGACTAACTCTATAGAGAGGCCCATGCTGCAAAGAATTAACATCTGTGTTCAACAGAGGAACCGTGTTTAAAACTTTGATTCAAGTCTTAAAATGTAGAAGTAGGAGTCAAGAGGCAATTTTGTGGGCAAAGAGACATTAAAAAAGGGCTTTCAGGGCTAAACACAGGTTTGGCAGACAAAGATCTGTGAGATGAGGAAGGTAAGTTGTTCTAGGAAAAAAATGAATAAGGACACCGTGGCAGGGAAAGTACAGTGTGTGTTAATCAAGTTGGCAGTATGGTGTCTATTGTTTATGGGGCACATGCAAGGAGTTCTATGAAACAAAGACAGGACAAGTTATCAGCATAAAAAGTTCTGTCCGTAGCCTTTAAATGTAATTAAGTTTCTCTAAACAGAAATACATAACTGACCTTCACAAATGACATCAATCATATCCACATGGCTATTTTAAGAACACATTTCATAAATCTGAAGTGACTCTAAAAACAATATAGTTTATTAACCTTTTCATGACCAAATTTCATCCTAGGGAAAAAGCAAGTGATATTATTTCTACACTTCTTTTCTGAAAAACTATCTAGAGAATACAAATAACTACTTTCAGCTAATCAATGCAAATTGTTTTGTCGAAGTGTTAAATAATTCAACCCAATCAAGCAACACAAGTTTCATAACACTATTCATAAGTAAACTGGTTCTGAATTATTCTATAAACTAAGACCTGACTCAGAATCCCATTTAGCGTCTATCAATGGTTCTTGCCTAAGTTACAGTCCCAGCTTCCTATTCAGACTCCCTCTGTACAGCCTTGTCACCCAAACCTAACCTTTACTAACCAACTATGTTAAATAATGTGGAATACTTTTAAACATGCAAACTTGATCCTGCTTAAAACCCTGTCCTACTGCCATTAGAATGAGCTTCAGCTTCTTTCAATTTGTGCGTCACAATCTGGCCCTATCTCACGCTTCACCTCACACGATGTTCCTGTCACATCAAAATTCTCTCCATTCCTAGAATATTCGCTGCTCTTTTTCCTTCTGGGTCTTTGTACATTGTTTCTTTTGGCATCGGCACTCCCTCCTTCTCACTCACTATTCATCAATGCCTCTAAGAAACTATCCCTGATCCCTAAAGTCTGCTTAAGAATACTATGTGTGAGCCTGTCCTCTTTCACACTAGAGGAATAAATGAAGATTTCATATTCTGTTTGCCCCTCATTTCTATCCTGGACTACAAATTCTGTCTTGTTCTTCAGTGTCTCTTGTCCGTATCAAGAAGCCTACATAAATTAGGTCTGAGATAAATGTTGATGGGATGCTGAATCTATCAACATAGAAACTGAAGTTTTCTTTATAAATTTGAAGACCAAAAATACTTGTTAGTTTATAATTTACAAGTTCATTGTAACTGGCTTTTCAAAAATTGAGGACACCTTTTCTCTTCCCACAAAAATAATGTCATAAATGGGAAAAAACTTTAATATCAGCAAAATTTAAGCCATTATATTTATATATATACTATTATATTTATTTCTCCATTAGACTACAAATGTCTTGTAGGATGGAGGATGGACTTAGATGCCAAGACTGAAACGCTCTGGTTAGGCAATAACCACCAGGAAGTTAAGCTGCTGGAGGGGGTAAAAGAACACAGCAAGCTCAGAGAAATCCGCCTTTAGTAGTAAGGGGGGGGGGGGAGTCTTCAGTATAAGATCGTTTCTACTGACACAGATGGCCAATACATTCAAGAATCTACAATGTAGCTAGGCAGCAGTGATCTTCATATATACAGATTTTCTTCTGGCAATCTAAGGTACTTTTAACATTCTTCTCCAGCACCATAATTCAAATGCATCAATTCTTCTATAATATCTCTTATTTACTGTCCAACTTTCATATGCTTATGACTGAAAATACCATGTCTCGGGTCAGGTACACCTTATTCCTCAAGATGACATCCTTGTACAGCAGATATGCCTAATGCAAAATATGGCTGCCTCCATTTCCTTGGGTATCTTCCTGTTTTTCTCTGACCCACTACATGAAGCTCCTGATAGTAAGTCCGGAGTATAAGAGACCAAGTCTAGCTATCCTGTCTTCTACAGAGCATTCTGGGTGTACTTCTTCCAACACAGATTTGATTGTTCTTCTGGCTATCCATGGTACTTTTAATATTCTTCTCCAACACCATGACTCAAATGTAGCAGTTTTCTATGGTCTTCCTTATTCACCTGCCCAACTTCCACATGCATATGAAGAAGCTACTGAAAACATCATGACTTGTATCAGGAGCACCTGTGTCCTTAAACGGACACCTTTGCTCTTCAACACTCTAAAGATGTCTTTTGCAGCAGATTTGTGCAATGTAATACATTGTCAACCACGGCTTTGTATAGTCAAGCAAAAGGAAGTCTTTGACAACTTCAATCTTTTCTTTTATTAAGATATTAAATTTTTCTACTTTTCAATGAAGTGCAATCCATACTGAGGGCTATATTCTTTGATCTTCACCAGTATTTTAAGTCCTCTTCACTTCCAGCAAGCAAGGTTGTATCATCTACATACCGCAGGGTGTTAATGAGTCTTCCTCCAAACCTGATGCTACGTTCTTCTTCATATAATCCAGCTTCTAAGATTCTTTGCTCAAGTCACAGACTGAATAAATATAGTGAAAGAATACAACTCTGGCACACACCTTTCATTAATCAACCTTCACTGTCACTATTTCAGTGTACACATATGTTTTATGCCTTCTGCCCTGCTCTAAAACAAGCAAACAAACAAATCTTTTTGCTGCTGCTTCTAACCTATTACGGGCTTAAAGGTATAACCAAAGTAAGTTTGGTACACAATTCTTTAAAGTGGTTCCACTGAACTGTGAGGCAGGGTGATAGGTAAGAACTTTCATTTTTATATTTACTCATTTCTATTTTGTTTGCATTTTTCATTATGATACCCATATACTGCTTTTGTTTTAGAAAAAGGACCTTTGCTATATAAAAAGGTAAATAAAACATATGAGAGCATTTATAGGCCTTAGGCTTTGTGTTGGCTCTTCCTTTGCAGTGACTACTAGAGTTCTGAAGTGGTGATGATGGTGGTTTTGTGCCACCAAGTCGGTTTCCACTTAAGAGTAGCCCTGTGTAAGGTTTCTAAAGCTATAAATCTTTCCAGGAGGAGAAAGCCTCCTCTTTCTCTCATGGAGCTATTGGTAGATTCGAACTACTGACTTTGCAGTTAGTAGCCCAGCTCATAATCTACTACACTATCAGGGCTCCTAGGAGTTCTAAAATAAGAGGCCAGCAAACTTTCTCTGTAAAAGCAGCCACAGACAATACAAAAGCAAATGAGCACTACTATGGTCCAATAATGCTTGACTTATGGATGCTGAAATTTGAATTTCATATCAATTGTACATGCCACATAAAATTACTGTTTTGATTTTTCTGAGGTGCTGTGGATTAATGCACTGTAAAGTCGGCTTGAACTACTAGGTCAGTATTTCAAGCTCACCAGTCACTCCTTGGAAACCCTAGACAGGGTCACCATGAGTCGGAACCAACTTGATGGCACTAAATAACAACAAACTCTTTAAAACTGAGAAACAATTATTAGCTCGAGGGTTGTAAACATACAGGGAGCCAGATTTGGTCCACGGGCCATAGTTTGGCGACATTGCTCTGATGTCCTGGGATAATATCTAATTCAACTGTCTATTCTCACAATCTTGCACATTGGTTGACCCATGGGAGGTCCTCCATTCCATCTACTATGTGAAATGTGCTTGGGCTAGAGCCCTACA